ATGGCCAAAGAAGGATTCTGAACATGTTCAGTAAAGATCCACCCATGCCCAACATTCAACTCTCTGGCCCAAAGTTCTCGCGAAGGTCCTGATATGTTTATTAGGTTGGAGGCCATCGCTACCATGCTGGAGGCCACCGCTATTGGGTTGAAGGCCATCGTTAGTAGGTTCGTTCATGAAGCTTCTCAACAATGAAGTGTTTCGAACGTCGCATCTTGCCCCGTGTCGTGCGCTTGTTATTCCGTGCTGGCCTAGCCCGACAAGAGCTGTCGAGGCAAAAGCTTGACCTGGGTCGAGGGGCTTGGTGAAGACTTGGACCTTTTCCCAGCTTTGCATCCTTTTGGTGTTTTCTCTAGTAGTAACAAGTGCCACGCTAGTAGTAACAGGTGCCTTACTAGTAGTAACAAGAAGCTATTAGAAACAGGTCTCCTTTTCCTTCCTTTTGGATCTTTGGGTTGGGTAGCTGCCCAAAGGGTAGCCCTCCAGTGGTGAACACATGCGGTTTGCATCGGTTCTGACATAGCAAACCAACCAATGCTTGTTTACATGCTTTAGCAAAAAGCACCCACCTCTGACAAAAACACACACTTGTGAGGGCTTTGTGGGTTCAGGTGCCCCTCGGACAAATATGGTGGCATGAAAGAACTAGAAAGCTTTATTGTTACTAGTAGCGATGGCCTCCACCCAGTAGCTTCTACTTGCTAGAAAGCAGGTGCTATCTTCACACAAACCTGAGGCAAGAAGCAACTTGACCGGCGAGAAAACTGTTGGACTTCCATGAGCCCACCTGACCATCGCTACGAACGGAGCGATCGGACGCTACGACGGTTGGAGCGATCGGACGCTATCGACGCTCACCAGGCCCTGAGGACCCAGACGAGTGCATTCCCCAGCTCACGAGCTGCACGGGTCACAGGGCATCTAGCAGGAGCGATGAAAACCGTGGAACGAAACGTATGTTTTTCGTGGTGCCTCGCTACTAGTAGCTTCTTGTTCATAGTAGTAAGGCCAGGAGCGCCCCTAGTAGCTTCTTGTTCATAGTAGGTTTTTCGGTGGGGCCGGACAGGGTTGGGATTGGAAAGCAACTTCTTCGGACTTTGATGAGATTTCAAGCTTTTCTCGAGAGGCGAATACCCTCGAGCCACCAAAGGGAGGTAGCAGGTCATCCATTCAACATCCACCAGGTTCCCATCAAGGTTCACTCGTTTGTTTGCTTTCCAGTTGATTTAAACAGGCTTCATATTCACACATGCCAGGCATGGTCATTTTGTGTCATTCTACTGCCCTGAGTACTGAATACTTGAAGAGCTCCTATATACAAAAACCCTACTACTAGGAGCAAGTACCAAGTAGGGTTTCCCACCAGTGGAATGAGACAAACGTCCGGAAAAGACCTCGATCTCGCCTGGATTCCCGTGGTGGCTTGCCTTCTCGTCGAGGCCTGACACCGAACTGGCTGGTTTTTGGTCGAAAAGCCTGGACTTTCGCCTCCCAACCAGCCTGGAAAGACACAAAAAAACACTGTCCTTTCTTTTGACTAGATAAGAAAGTCCTTTCTTTTGTGTCACAAAACACGGTCCTTTCTTTTCGTTTCTTTCATTTGCACCGTCTTTCTTCGGTTGCTTCCTTTGTCGCAAACACCTTCAATGAGGGACTGAGATGTCTGTCTTCAACGCTTGATGTCTTGCACGATCCGCTCTACGATCCAAACTCACCGGATTTCCAGGACACCTGGAGGAAGGGACGAGCTGGGTGGGACGCCTCCCTCAAGGAAGTGGACCTGGAAGGCCCTTGGGGTGCTGATGGCTTTCTGATAAGAGACGAAAACGAGTCTGCCGCGCGAGGCTCTGCGCGTGAAGCGCCACGCGTCGTACGGTCCACGTGCCTGGTGTATTGCACTTGTGCAAAGGGTCCGGCCTAACAAAGCTGCGACAGAAAGGGTAATAGCAAAAGGAACCTAATAGCAGCTGGCCTCCAACCTAATAGGAATGGCTGGGTCAAAGTCTTCGACCCGCTCGGGGCATTTCTCCAGTCACCTCCAGATCATGGCCTGGCTTTGAAGCCGTTTTTGGTCAGTGCTCCAGCAGTTGATACTGAAGCCGTCCGTTGACCACTTCCTGCAGGTCCTCCCCTCCTCCGGGGAAGATCCGATCCAAACCAGTCCAATGCGAAACGCCGATTTCTGAGTCCAATGGAACCTGTGTTCGACGTCCGTCGGACCAGTCGTGACAACCCAAACAGGCCAGGAGCCCCGTTCGTCGTTCCGTTCGTAGCGATGCCAGGAGCCCCTAGTAGCGATGCCCTTGCTCCTAGGTTTTGGGGGATATGGAAATTGCGTGATGACCATCATCTTTGACCAAGGTATCACACGCTGCAAAATCCTTACCGGAATGTGGCCTGGATGTGGCCTGGCTGACATCCAGCTGTCAGCACTGAGCTCGGAACGAAGCGATCGTAGTCCTGAGATGCAAATGATTCGACGGTCAGCCAGCCACGCTGCTCAAGCTTTTGCAGGCGACTTTGATTCTCCTTTGGGTTCCTGGGAAAACCTTACAATTCCAAAAGGGTATGCTGGGAACCCTCCTTTGCGACATGGATGTGGGGTAGATGTTTTCCTAGTAGAGAGATGCCGTAGCTCCTAGTAGCGATGCCCAAATAAACCAGGAATTCTGTTATGCCAAAAACATGTTGTTTGCCCTTTAAAGGGCTCTTTCATCCCTCGGATTGTCCCTTTCACCTTCTTTTCTGCAGGACGCTATTTCAGACCACTCCTTCACCAACGCCCTTCCCTTCTGAGCCGCAGCCGAGCGGAGAGCAGAGCCGAGCGGCGGCCGCGCGGTACGGGGGATCCTCCAATCGGCCCACCTGAGAGGTAGGTAGGTAGTTAGCTAGTGCCTTACTTAAGCTACTGGCATGGACGCAGGATAGCTCATGCTTCTTCAAGGAAGCTCCCCCCGCCTGAGGTGGGGGAGAGCTTCCTTGAACAAGCGCTCGCTCTAATCATTTGGTTCCTAGATCTTTAGGGAAACTAAACTTATATTAGACCTTTCTTCCTTTTCTTTCTTCTTTGTGTCCAATGGCGATGGCCTCCACCCTAATAGCGATGGCCTCCACCATAATAGCTCCACCACCGTAATAGCGATGGCCTTCACTGCTCGTGAAGCGTGCACCTTAAACATGAATCGTTCAGCTTCGTTTGGAATGGTTTGTTAGGAGAAGCATGTATTGCTTATGCAAACGACCACTGGTTCTGGGAGAAGCTGTGCCTGGCACTCACCGGGCATACGTCATTTCTTTGAGGTTGTCATTGTACAAACTACTTCACACCGACCTTTAAATGTGAAGGGTTCCCTCCCGAAATGAAGATGTGTAACCATGATGCACCAGAAAACACTGCTGTGTAAGGGATCCCTAGCAAACCGAGCGTTAATCAAGCACAAGCACACAACCACAACGAAGCAACGAACAACCAACCAAACCGACCAGGAACCAACCCAGGCTGGTACCCAATTCCCCAGTAGGGTGGAGGCCATCGCTATTAGACACAAAGCAAAAAGAAAAAGGGAGAAAGGTCTGAACAGTCCAATATAAGTGAAGTTGCCCCCCAAATCTAGGAACAACAGCTTCGTAGCCTAGCGAGCTGAGTGCGCCGGCCACCGGGTATTTGGCAATGTAGGTTTCCCAGTAGGTCCTGGTCTGATGAATCCGCTGAGTCGCGGAGTCTTTGGCAGCTTCCAAGTTTCATTCTTAAGCCCGCTCCTACTTCATTGAATAGGCGCCTCCTTTATTAAGGGAGAAAGCTCGTAGCTATTTAAGCTACTACTGGATGCAGGATAGCGCTCGCGCTAGTCATTTGGTTTCTAGATATTTGGGGAACACTTAAGCTTTCTAGAGTCAACCTTGCTTCTACTAGGAACAAGAAGCTACTAGGAGCAAGGGCATCGCTACTAGGGGCTCCTGGCATCGCTACTAGGAGCAGGGACGCTACTAGGGGCTCCTGGCATCGCTACTAGGAGCAGGGACGCTACTAGGGGCTCCTGGCTTTACTAAGCAGCTTCCAACAACATACACAGACCGGTCTGGTACCTCGCCTTCCATCGCTCAACGCCACCAGCGAAAAGAAACACGAGATGGCAGTGATATTTCTTCGAACAGCGTGCATAGATTTGGTGACGCCCGATTTTCACCCAAGGCAGCATGGGAGGAGCAGGACAGAGTGAAGATGTCAGTGGTGCTATCACAGATCTTGCTTTCCATGCCAGTCTTGCATTTTGCTAATGATCAGTGTTGTCATTTCCATTCATTTCTTAGCATTTCCCGATCACCTGCCACCTTGGCCGGCCAGAACTGCACAAACAGGATTGACTCTCAAGATCTCCAAGCTGTGTTTGTGATTGGATCTGGACAATATGGAGAGGACAAAGGAGATACATTAACTAGGAGCAAGGACGCTACGAACGGGGCTCCTGGTATCGCTACGAACGGAACAAGGTTCGCTACTATATATAGACCATATAGACTTTGGAGATACAAAGCATTTCTGGATCGATCCATCCGTTTGGGGCTTCGGATGACTCCCAGCGGAGGCTCCCCCGTTCCCCCCCCCGGTGCCGGTTCAAGTGGTTGAGCTGCTCCGGGGTGAGATCCTCCAAACCTCGGAACGGAACCCAATAGCAAAAGGAAGCTGAGCTTAGAGGTCTCAAAAACAGCTTGGAACCTTGGTTATTTAGACTTGCCTAAGCTATTAGAAACAAGAAGCTAGTCCTTTTTCAGTGACATTCGAAGCTTTCATTCTCATTGGCTTGCCGTGGGGATTTGGGTCTGGATTGGGTACCTCATTCTCTTTTCGGCAACGTGCCTTTGATGAGATCCTGGAGCATTCGTTCTCCGCTTTTTCCCTGAAAATCAATAAGAAGAAGACCTCTTTCCTGCTTTGCAGAATCCCAAAGACCGATTGGGGTGGGTCCAGCCCGCATGCAGTCTCCAACGCACACGCCATGCGGTCTCCCACCGAGCTCTCGCAGTCGGTCTTTTTGTCGCTCTCAAAGCTCACCAGGAGATCCTGACCTGAGCCAAAACGGGGGAGGCTGGGCAAAACTCGGGCGACAACCACTCCATGTGGTTTGGGCAATCGGTATGTATTATCTGAAGCAACAAAGATTGACACCTCACTTTGGAAGGATGATCTCCAAACATCAAGCATTCTGTGTTGAGTTGCATTTCAAAGTCCGCAAGCCACAAGGCTGCTCGGCCAAGATCTCCAGATCTGCCTCCTTCGGAAGACCTGAGGTTTAGACGTCGTCAAGGTAGAACCGGGCAAAAAACCGCAGAAGCTAAAAGCCATAGAGAGGCTCCACCAGGCTACTGACGCAACCAAAAAACGAGTACTAGTAACAAAGGGCATCGCTGCTAGGAGCAAAGAACTAGCAGCTCCTGGCCATACTAGTAACAAGAGGACGCTACGCACGTAGCAAAGGGCCTCGTGAACCGAACGGAGTCCCCCCCCTGGGCGGTTGAAAGCACCCACTCTTCAGCACCTGAGCACCGATCCGATTTGCTTCCCAAGAAACACCTGGTCTTCCAGACTCTGCTGGGTGCCGATGGGAGGTCCGGCCACCGCCAGGGCAGCGGGTGTGAAACGGGCCGTTGAACACGACGGGGCGTCCGGTTGGCGGTGTGCAGGCCCAGATGCTGTTGATGCTAAGGTGGGTCAAAGAGCTTGACAGGTTGATCTGAGAAAAGCTGCCATGGCCAAGGGTCCTGACCAACGAGGGACGCTGGTGTGGTCAGCCAATTCCCACCGAGGATCGCAATCGAAACTGTCCGATGACCAATGCGGGCTTTGGACATCATACTCCACAAAAGTATTCCACATGACCAACTTCACCTTCTTCCCATTTCTTCCCGTTGGAGGCTATCACTAGTGGTCTTTCTTCCGGTCGTAGCGGCCTTTCCCCGCCTCATTCCGAGAACATGTGGGTATCACACCAAGGAAGAACACGGTGAACCAACAAACAGGTCTGTGGCCCAAAAGAACGATGCACGGGCCATCGGCAATCCCTGAGGCTTCATCTCAGAAGCCCGAACGGAGCGTTCCGGACGCTACGAACGGGGCTGGCATCGCGAACCGAACGCGCTCCGTTCGGACGCTACGAACGCGGTTGGAGGCCATCGCTACGTTCGACCACGGCACGACACAACACGACAAGGTCGAAGCGAGAGATCGGTCGAAGCAGTGATCGCACGGTGGTGTGCCTATCCCCGACCCACACGATTCGAGCTTCTTGTTCGGAAGTGCTATAAGAAGTACGTGCGCGCCTTACTTTGAATGAAGTGGAAACCATGCCTCAAGTGACTCAAGTGAGGAGCCGGCGAAACACGACAACAAGGTGTTTCTTTTGCCCGGCGATGTGACCGCTCACACCGCTCGCACCGCGACGGTTCCGAGGCTCAGGTGAGTCAAGGACGGGCAGACCTGCCACAGAAGGACGGTGCGGTGTGGAGCTTCGTGCAGGGGATGGGTAGTGCAGGTGGTGTGATCTGGTTGTTTTGGGGTCCTGATGAACGCCCAAGGGCCACAGCGAAAACGCACGTAGACCCTATCCGCTTCTTTGAAGGCACACCTAAAGTCACTTGGATTTGAGAGTGATTCAAACGAGGCTTTTGATCCCCCTCAGCCTCCTGCGGTTGAGTGAATTGAACACAAACGTCCCTTTCCCAGACTCAGTGGATGGATGGCTACGGCTATGCAGGTTTGATCAAATGATCTGCTGATTCCTCTTCACCCCAACATATTCTATGACAAATCCTGTCCACCACCGGGAAAAATGAGAAAAACACACACCAAATCACTACTGCCACCGGCCGGTCATCAAGCTAAGAGTTTCTGACAGACCGGCCTTCCTTTCACGCTAGTAGGTTGGAGACCATCACTCTTAGGTTGGAGGCCATCGCTATAGCAAGTGGAGGCCATCGCTTGTAGGGTGGAGGCCATTGCTTCTAGGTCTATTCAATTATAGATAGATAGATAGATAGATAGATATTGTTTTCTTTGTTTTTGTTCTCTATTAGGTTGGAGGCCATCGCTAGTAGCACCTCCTGTACCCCTGCCGTGGCCTCTGCCTTCGTTGGCGTCTCGGCGCAGCCCAGCATCTCCAGTCGTTCCAGACGCGGCAAGGAGATCTTCACAAGGCTCTGCCGGAAGAAGTAGCCCAGCCTCCTGGAGCCATCGTCGAGCATTGGTGGGAACAACAGGGCTTGGTGGAAGCGATGGCCCCGAACTTACGTAATAGCCATGGCCTCCAACCGACTAGGTGGAGAATCTGACATATCATGAATTATCCATTGACGAGAGTGCTTCAGGAGCTCCGAGACCGTCATACCACATGTTTGTCCGCAGGTCTCGCAGGTCTCGCAGGTAAGCGAGAAAAGGGGAATCGACGGTTCTGGTGGTCGAAACGATCGAGTTGGAGGCCAATCGCTAGGGGCGGTGGGAGACCATGGCTAAGGGCGGTTTTCACCTTCAAACCGCTCATACCACCATGCGGTCAGTTCCCGCACCGGTCTGAGGGTCTCAAACCGCGGTCTGGTCGGGTCTGAGGGTCTGAATGCAATCCCAGTCTCAAACTGCGAAGATCCGGCAGATCAATGCCATCCTTGCTTGTCAAACGGAACCGAACGAAGCGGTTTCTGAGAGGGGTTTCTCCAGCTCAAGGGTGATGGCAAGTCATGGAAACCATGTGAATGAAATACATCTTCCAAATGCAAATATCAATCACAATATAGTTCAACCGATTCAACTGCATGTGGTTTTTGGCTTGGGGCACCAGAGTTCACCTTTCGCCGCATTGCCATGGGTTGCTATGAAGCTGATTCATGGTTGACCAGGAAACCCCTATTGATTTCAGTGAAAGGTTGATTTCAGCACCAATCAAAGGAGCACAGGTCATTGAAGCACACCATGCGCGGAGCCCACACAAAGTCGACGTCTCTATCATGGCAAGCATCCAACGGCTGGTTGAAGCTGCTGCCAAAGGCCAAATGTTGCCTTAAGTTGCTGCCACTGCTATTGGGTTGCCATCTCCTTTAGGTTGGAGGCCATTGCAATTAGATTGGAGGCCATCTCCTTTAGGTTGGAGGCCATTGCAATTGAATTGGAGGCCATCGCCTTTCGGTTGGAGGCCATTGCAATTAGGTTGGAGGCCATCGCCTTTCGGTTGTAGGCCATTGCAATTAGGTTGGAGGCCATTGCAATTAGGTTGGAGGCCATCTCCTTTAGGTTGGAGGCCATTGCAATTAGATTGGAGGCCATAGCCTTTCGGTTGGAGGCCATTGCAATTAGGTTGGAGGCCATCTCCTTTAGGTTGGAGGCCATTGCAATTAGGTTGGAGGCCATCTCCTTCAGGTTGGAGGCCATTGCAATCAGATTGGAGGCCATCGCCTTTCGGTTGGCCATCTTGCAATTAGGTTGGAGGCCATTGCAATTAGATTGGAGGCCATCGCCTTTGGTTGGAGGCCATTTCAAGTAGATTGGAGGCCATCGCCTTTCGGTTGGAGACCATTGCAATTAGGTTGGAGGCCATCTCCTTCAGGTCGGAGGCCATTGCAATCAGGTTGGAGGCCATCTCCTTTAGGTCGGGGGCGATTGCAATTAGGTTGGAGGCCATCTCCGTTAGGTTGGAGGCCATTGCAATTAGGTTGGAAGCCATTGCAATTAGATTGGAGGCCATCGCCTTTCGGTTGGAGGCTATTGCAATTAGGTGGGAGGCCATCTCCTTTAGGTTGGAGGCCATTGCACTTAGATTGGAGGCCATCGCCTTTCGGTTGGAGGCCATTGCAATCAGGTTGGAGGCCATCTCCTTTAAGTTGGAGGCCATTGCAATTAGATTGGAGGCCATCGCCTTTCGGTTGGAGGCCATCGCGTTTTGGTTGGAGGCCATTGCAATTAGGTTGGAGGCAATCTCCTTTTGCGAAGCGATGAAACCAAACATGACCAACATGTTCTAGGCCTCAACACCTCAGAAATGACATGTGTTCCTCCACCCAAAGCGCCGCACTAGAACATCTTTTTCTCGCATGAACGAATGTCCTGTGCATGATGTCCATGGCTTGAGCCATGTGCAACGAACGAACGATGGATGCTGCGGCATCCTGCGTTGAAGTGCAACGAAAGCATGGATGGTACCTGCCAGAAACAAACGTTTGAAGTTGACTAGATTGGTTCTCTGAACTCAACCCAAAAATCATCTTGACTTCATTTACCATCTCTGATGGTTACTAACGCTCACACCCCCTTTCAAGATGAGTTCTCAAGCAAACTGTACTTTTGCAAGGAAAGAGACTTGAACGGAACTGGCCTGAGGATTGTGGCGTTCTTATGCCTGCAAAAAGGAAATTTCAAGATGAGCTCAACTCAATCAACACATAGGCGCGGAAAGTGGAAGGTTTGGAAACGTGACAACTAACGGCACATCGTTCTTTTACTCAAAAAAGAAGCGGGAGTCCACTCAACCGCAAGCAGCCCTAGTATGTCCTGCGGGTTACACAGTGCATACATGGCTCTCGGCTTTCTGAGTGACGATGCTTAGCCATGATCTCTGTGACAGCTTTACAGCTAACGCGCTTCTTGTGCAAAACTTTATCAATCAAGGGGTGTTCTTCCTTTGAAAAAATGATATCTCGCTCTCGGAAAGGCAGCGCTGACACAATTCGACCTTCATGGGATCTCTCCCTTTTAGCATACCACAGCCACGAAAACAACTGCTTGCATCACAAAAATGGCAGCAAAGAAAAACAGGATCATAGGTCTTATCTTGTTGACCTTTCTTGAACTTCTATGTTGAGGAATTTGAATTACGATCTGAAGCAATGATTGACGACACCGAAAGATGCAGTCTTGACTGGCTCACCGTCTACTACATTTCGAATCAAGTCTAATCAAGCGTCATACTTGTGATCGGGTGTGTGAACAATTGATTTGCACTGAACGAAACCACTGGATTTGCAGGATCATGCATGACATTTCCCCCTTCAGGCCTGGCATCTTCCTGAAGAACGATGCTCTTCAAATGGATTAACACCTCCAGAACAAGTCGTTCGGGGTATCGACCCGTACGAGACCACTTAGAATTATTAAAAATAGCATGACTTGTGTGGCTACAATGTGTAAACTTCTCGAGGCAAGATGCGATGACTTTGTGATTCGTTGTGAACAAGAGTGTTTTGCTCACAATCGGGCCACCACACATACAAAGCTTCGGAAGATTCGCATACACTGGCCTTTGGGATCTCATGATGAACTCCTGAACTGGCTGACTGAGTTCTCCAGTAGTCATTTCTTTTGGGCAATTCAAATGCCCAAACAGTACAAAGAAGCATGATTTCGGTGTAAAGTTCAAGCAAACAAAAAAACTGATCGCGAAGTGCATCTTTACGCTCCTGATTCTTTGGTAGGTTCTGAAGCGAACTGCCTCCTGTGCATGGCAGAGAAAATGCACAAAAGAGAATCGATTGGACCCCTGATGATGCTGTTTGAGCAACTCAACAATCTTTGCATGACAATCCTCCAACGGCGAAGACTTCGTACATCGAATGACCAACGTGTTGGATGGAAAGACCTTGGTTGCATTGGTCGCTAAAGCACTTGCTTCAGCACAGCAAATTTCGATGATGATTACATCAAACTTTTGTTCAAGTTTATCGATGTCAGAGGCTTCAATCAAAACACTTGGGAATTGCTTGGCGCCAGACACATGTCGTGTTTGTGTTTCCACTCGGGAGCTTTGCTTGACGCTTGCGAACACCTTCAAAGTACCATCGGCTTGCATTAAGCCGTACATATGCTGTTTGTATTTGGGTTCTGACTTCATCGATGACGATTGTGAAGCACTTGTTGCTGATCCTGACATAGCTAAGTGAACTTCATCATCCTCTAGAAAACCCATGCTTACACGGAACTGGTTGAAAAGCTTAGATCCTAACGTCTTCGTTAAGATGTCTGCTATTTGCAGATTACCTTCAACCCAGGTCAATGTGATGATTCCCCGTTTGATGAGGTCCTGACAAAAGCAGATTCTCAACTCCACATGTCGGCTCTTACGCTGAAGGCCATTGGCCTGGAGGACACGGATTGCTGCTTGCGAATACGTTCGACGCTCGATTGGTGGAAGAGAAGCTTCTTCAAACAGATGTGCATGTAGTTGGCTTAGAGCTACTGCTTCACACATGGATTCTGTACTAGCACGAATCTTTGATTCGATGTGCAGGTGATCTGTCAACCTAGCTAGTCCGATGGCCTCTTGAACTGATTCGGCGATTGACGAAAGCTCGGCCTCGCATGAGCTAAGTGCTACCAACGACTGCACTCGGCAAAAAGCTTTTACGACACTTCCCTTAAAGAAGGCGACCATGCCTGAGATGGATCTTCTTCGAAGACACCTGAGTGGAGCCCATGAGGCATCCGTGTACATGGTGATTTGGCTTGTCTGTGCACTTGGATCCATGCTGAACTCCGGGGATGGAAAGCATTGTACGAAGGCGCGATGATTAAACATCCACCTCAGAACAGCTCTTAAAGCGTTCTCATGTTTTACAAGTGGAGTTGCCATCCCTGTAGCTAAAAGTGATGAATATATGGACAAATGCAGCAAAGTTTGGCGCATCCAGCTGATCTTCCCCAACGCTGCTCGATATTTAGATGCTGCTTCTGTAGTCAAAGGCACTTCTTTCTCTTCTTTGGGATCATCCAACAGAGGTCGAAGGTCTGGAGGATTATCTGTGCCTTTCGAGATTTGATATGCATTGAAGGTTGACTCCAAGTAATTGTTGTCCAATTTGATCGTGATTTCTTTTTGCATTGGTTTCCTTTCAATGTTTCGTCCAAGGAAGCGGATCTTTCCACCCCCTTCAAAGCTTGGCTTGATCTCTCCAGTTTTCTTGATCTTTAAAGCGCTGGCTAAATGTTTGAAAACTACATCGGTGGCCTCTTGGCATCGTGAGAAGATCAAGAGATCATCCACGTAAGCCACAACCTGGACCCATGACTTGGATTTGTCTTTCAAGGTTACATACCCTGCGAAAACCGTGGATTCAAGTTTGGACGGGCTGATCTGCAAAGATTTCAAGAGGGCGGCAAGGTGTTCTACCCATGCTAAACCGCTTGAACGAAGACCGTTGATAGCTTTATATGCCTCCATGTATACTGGCGATTGATCAGGAAACACAATACCTGGTGGCATCTTCAAGATTACCTTTATTGGTTTGCCTAGCTTATACCCAAGTGGGGATGCCATGAACGCAGCCGACGCATCAAGCCCTGTCACATACAGATCTGAGATTGAGGCTTCGGCCAAGATGAGTCGAAGGGACTCGATGGAGCTCGTAGGTGAGCTTACCATCAGGTCCTTTGCGGACATTTGCCCACGCGCGATCTCTCTTGCAACCAAGCGCATGCGGACATTTGCGGGATCTTTTTCTACACAAACCCAACGAGTGCTTATCGGACTTACTCCCCATGGTTTGGACAACGTTTTGGCGGTCTGTTCATCAAGAAGTTTACCGACCTTTTGGATTGACATGGAATCAACTTCAGTTTGCATTCCTTGAAATGCTAAGGCACAGTCGAAATAACGTCCATGAGCATCGCTGATGACGAAACCTGGAAACAGCAACGTGACTTCTTGACCACACAACATGACTGGCTCGTAGTACGGCTTTTGTCCCTTGATTTGATAGACACTTTGCATGAATCCGGCATGCCTCTCTTCTATGTAGTCTAGTGAAGACATATCGAAAGCTGTCACCAATGAACCCAGTTGCATAGCATCAGATTCTGGCGGAGGGAGCTCTGAGGGTGGTACCACCATGTCGACACCTACTGACATCGAAGGAGCTTCCTCGATTGGTGCTGCAATGGGTGGATCATCAACGAGAACCGGCGTACTGGACTGATCAATGGATACTTCGACATCATTTGGATCAGCTCTAGGTGACAAAGCCGCTCGAGGTGTTGTGGGTGTATAGTCGGACATTGCATCTTGGCCTTCATCA